CCTTCACTTAATCTTCAAGTATTTGATGACCACTGTCAATGACAGTCATTAGCTGCAACAGGAGGGATAATATAAATAATAAAACTGAAATGGTTGAAAAAAAAAAGATTACTTCTTATTTTCAAATGCTTTCTAAAATAATAACGAGTTATTTACCATACCATGGATAATATAATCCTAAAATAAATTTATAATAATTGAGAACATTCATTTCTCAAAATTGTAACACTCCTTAGGGTTCATAATGATAGATAAAAATATTTTGGTCATAATTTACACTGCATTATCTATGACTTTGGAAACATACTGGGGAAGTAGGAGAACTAAATTTTTATAAAAACAATTAGTAACACACATCTTGACACTTGCTTATAATATTTATTACCATAGCAATTGTGACAAAAGTTAACTGCATGCCAGACACTCAATGATAGGTTTCAAAAGTACATTATCTGTAAGTATTTTACTACAAAACTAAGTCTCTTACTTTCAAATTTATTCTTAGTTCAAATTTATTCTTAGGGTTTTTGAATAAATGTGTGATTTAAAATAACCCATCAGAGATTCTCACAAAATCAAATTGAATGCCACACATCTTAAGCGCAATTAATTTTGAAAAATAGACATTTTCAGCAGCTTTCCAAAATAAATATAAACTTTATATAAAAATAATTAATTCAATATAAAACCTCAGGAAAACCACATCTTGATGCTCTGATACATGTAACAGGATCTCAGTTCGAATGCACTCCCAACATTGGGAACAGATGCAGATGTGCATTTACTCTTTGAAGCTAGTCTTCAATAGAGTACAATCACTGACTTGGCTGGCTTCCTTCTGTGAAGACCTCTTCACATTCTTGTAACTACATTTACATGTTTTCTCGAATGCAGTTTAGGTTCATCAGAGTAGCACGGACAATTTTGTACTTTAAAATCTGAGCACGAGATTTCTCAGTAACAAATACTTCAGAAGAATTTGTTAATAGAACTACTAAGATCACCCCTGGAAGAGAAAAAAATAGAAGAAACTTTTTTTTTTTTTTTTAGAAATACAGGAAGTAATTCAGGAAAAAAATGCCTTTTGTTTGTATCCATATGCTAGGAGACATGAACCTTTGCAGTTGCTATTGTCCAAATCCATCAGCACAGTCCACTCTACACAGGAGCCCTGTAGGCACCCCTCCCAATAGTGCAAACCGCTAGGGTTCATCTTTCTTGAACTGGCAAGGGGCTCATAGTACTGAAGGAATGCGACCATATGTTTGATATTTGGAAAGAGGGAGTTGGTTGTTGGAAAAGAATGAAAGGAAGTAGAGGAATGTCACGATGAGGGTCATAAATCCTTATTCCGAGTTCAGGATTTTCCACTAGTTTGGGAACTTTATCCAAGTCCTTCTATCACTTGAAGACTTGTTTTAAAAATAAAAGATTATCTGTCCTATTCCTCTTGACAACACATAGCCCATCTCTAAATGGAATATAAGGCTTCAGAGGGAAGCTCCTACTCTTAGTGAGGTATAACTCAGTTTTTTACATTTCTTCTTAGGGGTTTTAAGCTATGAATTGTATCATCCCATTGACCCTGACATAGATGTTTTATCTTTTCAATTTATTTGTACATGAAACCATACCTCAAATGATTAATTTATGAGTTTCTTTTCATGAACTTCAGATGAAAAGGGTCTGATTAGTAGCTTGTTGTTGTGACATAAGGTCACTAAATGAAATATTCAAAATTCCAGGTTTATCACAAGTTTGGACGTCCAAGGCTGAGGGGAAAGCTGAGCATGTACAAGGGCCTGGATTTAATTCCCAACACTGAATAAGGACAGGGAGGAGAGAGGGAGAGTGAAGGAAAGAGAGAGAGAAGGAAAAAGGTCCAAAGCCCATATTTCAGCTCCTTGATCCCTTAAATACTTTTTATAGAGGCTCCAGTAAGGAGAGTATCTGAATGTTCTGAAATATACAACACTCCAAATTTTCCCTAAGTTGTGTAAAAATACACTAATTAATAGTAGAAACCTTTTACAATCCAATAAAACATAGCAATGGAGAAGTAAACTTTCAAAAGTGAAAATTAGAACTCAAGTGCACTGACAATAATAAATATGAGTTAATAAGCCAAACTATGTTAGCTCAGCCCTATGAAAGAAAGTACCTTTTGTTTACTTGTTTGCAGACCAAAGCTGCACCAAGATGATATCAATGACCTCAGGTTAATGTGACATCACTGAATTCCCTTAACTTGGGTCTGCAGCACTACAATGATCCTAGGACTGATTCACTCCAGTGTACACATAGCACGGATCACTCTTGAATTGACTAGAGCTCTTGGTTTCTCTTTTCTGTTGTTTTGGGTCACAGATCACAGAAGAATGTTGTGTCTCATCAGATATGTTCAATGATTAATCTCCCGTTACATGGAGAGTGAGGCAAAATTTAATTTCCCATCTCTTCTATAACATACCTTCAATTAAATGTCTATATTTTGTAAGCATGTATTAAAAAAGTCAGTTTTACCAAAATTTCCATGCATATCACTTATTTCTGAATCTCTAAAGTGTCTTAAAAATCAGTGAAAAAACTATCTTCTTCATTTGTCTTTGTATAGAACTAAGGTTTTCTCACACGAATAAGTGAGTTGGTATGGGTGCTCTACCATTTTTTTATAAGAGGCTCATCTGTTGAGTATGAGATCCTGAGACATCTTAATAATATTTATAACATGAAACTAACTTATTGATTTCTGAGTGGCAAATTACTATGAAGTGTGAAAACAATATCTTTTAAAAGGAGTCTGGGATCTTTGTCATTGTTTATGATGTTTATTATTATTTATGAAACATTGCTTTTATCATAAATAGAGAAGGAATGTAAGGATTTACTTAGGGTAATAGTAAAATCAACAGAATCCTAAGTTTAAGTAGAAAACTCTGATGATGTTTAGCAACTCACAGATATATTTTAAACAATATTTATTTTGATGAAATCGATAATCTTGAACTTCTTATTTCTTGCCATGAAACAACGAAATGTGCAAGTTTCTTAACCTAGATTGTTGTCCACTATGCTGGGCTTCGAATTCTCTTGCCATATCAAAAGCTCAAATAATAAACTTCTGCATTAATCTTAAAGTCAAGGGTGAGATCTGTGCAAACCTCACATAATTTTTCAACCAGAAATTTCTTCTTAATAGATTTTATTTGATTGCAATTCAGTTGTTCTTTAAAAACACAATTACTAGCATTGATAAGTTATCGATTTAAATCTGAATTCTGGTTCTGTCACCCATTAATGCTGTGACCTTGCGAAAATTATTTAATCTCTTAATCTTTAAAAGAAGTATAGCAACACATCTCATACAATTATTGCAGTAATTGAGTTGAAGTATGTAAAGTATTTGTACTGTGACTAGTGTATAGAGAGAATCTGAGGGAGGGGAAAAAATGGTGTCCATGTGAGTGGGGCTGGGGAAACACATTGACTCCAGAGTGGTGCAGAATGACACTGGCCATGTAGTTAGTTATATTTCAAAGAGAGGAGTTTTAACAGACATTGTTTTAAAAACTACTTGTGCTATTATCAAAACACTGGCTGTGGGTCCTGCCATTATAACAGATGATTTCATTCTAAGCTGTGTAACTTAAATTTAGTGCATAACATTTGGCTAATTTGTTAGTCTTCACAAGTATAACCCCTCAGACCAGAGCTAAAGTCTCTACTTATGTTCAACATTTAATGATATGCCTACTTTAAATCACACACTTTGGTAGCACAAAATACAAACACATCACATACTTTCAAAATCCATAACTATTAAGTATAAATGTGTGTGTGTGTGTGTGTGTGTGTGTGTGTGTGTGTGTGTGTAAGGGAATTAGTGCAAAATAAAAGCAACTGAAAGTAAAGCAAACACACCCTTGAAACAACATCTGTATCTTACAAATATTGGTGAAAAGCCTTCCTTCAGATGGTGGTGTGATACAGAACACTGTATTTCTTTCTACACAGGTCTAATATTCACAAAAGATGGTACCTGCTGGGCTTGTTCATAGCTAACAACAAGAGACCTTCCCACGGTGGCCTGTGAATAGAATTATTTGTAGTGTCTATCTGCATGGCTAGGCTCATGAGGGTTTTCTCACCTTTTTGGGGTCTATATTAGAGAGGACAAACAGATATCATTAATTTTGGAATCATTTTCATATTTGACTCTAATGATTTTCTCTGGTGTTCCCCCATTTACAACAGTAAAGCAATTATATTATAGGCCACGTGATCCACTATAATACAATTCTGAAGGTTTCTTGAATGGAATCACACAGTTAGGTCACACATCTTGTTTTCCATAATCTTATGTGTCTGAGTGGAACAAGTTTGAAACTGGGGCATGTAAGATACAAAAGTCTTCTTGCCAGAAGTTCCTAAGTTGAAGTTGTTCTCTACAAAGTGGGAACAAGTGTCCTGGAGGATTCTGATGTCGGTGACTAAACAGTGTGCTGGAAATGGGCATAATACTCCTGACTCATCACTTTCTCTTTTTTTGATTGAGGTGACCCCTAAATAATAGACAGACTTTTCACTATTATTTTCTTCAGGGAACTTTCCCTCCAGTTCCAAAAGTTCATCCAGTCCTTCTGAGAACGAAAGGTGTGGTGAAATCATATTGGGATGCCGCTCTGATAATATGAAAAATGCCTGGGTCTCTATCTCCCAGGAGCTATTAGAGAAAGAATGTTTTGATGGAGAATGTTTGCTAGAGAAGCACTTGCTGACTGAACTATGTATGAGCCCCTGCTCTTCATCCGTTTCGCTTGACTTGGAATTACTGACCAGTGTGGCGTATTTAACTGAGGGTTGTCTCTGGCTTTCGTCCTCACAGACAGCCGGAATGCTCCCAGCCTCAGAGATGTGAGGGCTGTTGCCCTGGTCACTAATACAGGCAGAATCCTGCTCAAGATCTTCAGCTGTCAAAAGCAGTGAGACCATAGTTGCTGGCATCATCTCATCTTTATTTTTCCATGGTGTATCAACACTGATGTCTTCTGAAATGGTTTCAGGCTCCAAAAGAAGAGGACCAAATGTCACTGATTCTGCATGCTTGGTAAAAAGATGCTCAAAGGTTTCAGGCTAAAAGAAAAGACACATTTTAATGCTCAATTATATTAAAATTTTTTTCATTATGCCATGCTTGCAGAAATCCAAGTGTATAAGGTTAATAATGATGGACATAAGTCAACCCCCCAAATGAACTACTTTGAAATTAAATATACATCAAAAATCATAAAGGAGAGTCAGCTTTAAGTGTTTAAAAGCAGGACAGGACAAACTTAGGCTAGAGTTCTTTTGATTCTGTGAACCACACCATCCTCTTTGCCTTTCAGTATCTTCACCTGTAAAATGAGTTTAACATTTGCTTTGTTGTGATATGCCTAGAATTAAATAAAATAGTGTCTGCAAGTGCTTARCTTTCAATTTAGAAAGATGACTATAATTATAAAATACTATCTTCTGAAGAATTTCTTATGTTTTACAGTAAATTATATTTCAACAAACTGAAATTTAAGTCCCCCAAAAGAAAAAAAAATTTAAGTCCCCCAAAGGAAAAAATAATAAAATAAAATGAACAAAACAATTTGTCTAAAGATACTTAAAAGAGGAGCTGAGGTTGTGGCTCAGCGGTGGAGCGCTTGCATAGCATATGCGGTGACCTGGGTTTGATCCTCAATACCACATAAAAATAAATAAACAAAATAAAGGTATTTGTCCAACTACAACTAAAAAAAATTTTTAAAGATACTTAAAAGAACTATTTTATGACATAAGATATGGTACAGAGGTAAAATAATCATGAACAACTATTTAAGAGCATATACGCCTTATATTGAGATGCTGCTTGAGGTTATATAAAAATAAGAACTAATATTGCCTATTTGTTAAAAACAATGATGGTGAGAGATGGTAACAGACTTGTGAATTTCTATTCTTTATACATAATTTCATATAAAATATACACAGACATATGGAATGAAGACAAATACACAAGACAAATGTACATCATATTTTTTATAAGAATGATGGTTACATCACAACAAAAATCTTGCCAAGCAGCCACAAATCAAGAATCTGTATGCACAAAGCTCAATTCATACAATATAAACACAATGAAAAATAAATGCAAAATAAAAAATACTGTGGATGCATCATATCAAAAAACTAACACAACTAAATTTAGTGCTACAGAACATGTGTTCAATTTATATATCATACATGCAATTTAACTTTTTTCACAATTTTTAAACTAATAGAATGAATTCAGTTTTTGGTTGCCTGAGACAATGGTATCCTCAGCTGTTCTGAATGGCAAGTATATTCCATACAAAAATGCAATTTGTTTAGTACAGTTTCCAAATCTTATTAAAACCATAAAGGAATAAATATACCAAACACTAAATATAATAATAATGGAATAGACTTACACATGTATTAAAATACTATATAAGGACAAATACTGTGTCAATACAACTCTATTATGCTACCAACTTAATATAGGAAGAGAAAACTATTCCTATGCCTATTTTTCTTCTAACATAAATCTATAGGTTTCTGATTATCTTCCAATATTTGCTTGGTCATTTTTTTAAGGCTTCTACTACACATAAGCATTGAATTGTCTTAAAATTTAAACAAATTTAGAAATTAACATCACCAAATAATTAGATGCAATGAATAAGAAAACCAAAAAGAATGTACAAATAGGATGAAAATTCACATGTGTTCTTCAAACAACCTATCTGACATATTCTATGTTCCCTAAAACTTCATAATGGGCAACTAATTATTGAAACCAAAAATTGCATGTGTCTTAAAATGAATTTAGGTGGAAGACACTAATACCAAGAAATTACATACTCATATACTATTGAAATATTATTTTATCAATGGGCCACAAACGTCATCAAAACTTCATTAAAAGTATGTTTGTTTAAAAAACTATTTTGCACCAGACACAGTGGCACATGCCTGTAATCCCAGTGGCTTGAGAGGCTGAAGCAGGAGGATCTCAACTTCAAAGTCAGACTCAGCAACTTAACGAGGCCCTAAGCAACTTAGCAAGATCCTGTCTCAAAACAAAAAATAAAAAATGGGCCTAGGGATATGGTTCAGTGTAAAACACCCTTGGGTTAAATTCCTGGTACCAAAAAATAAAAATAAAAATAGAAAACTATTTCACCATATGTATCTAATTTTTTTGAGATTCTAGAACAATCCAGGCATATGTTAAATATGTATTCAGCTGGTAAGGATTAAAGGATATCCTTTCATAATTTCACACTTAGATTTCACATTCCAATGACATCTGTTAATAGTCAATGGAGGGAAGAAAAGAGACACATTCTTCCTGTTTTTTAGTTTTTTAAAGACATCCATATAAAACTATGAATAAAATCTAAGTTACCCATAGATATCCTAAATTTGAATATTATTTGGATTCATCACTAGACACTTTGGTTTAGTTTGTAAGCACACTTAGCATGCTAATTTCACAGAAGTTGTAAGTGCTCTTATTTTTTCAGAAGAAAAATTATGTCCTCACCATGAACTATCTGTAAAAGTTCCAAAGAGACTCCCTTCCTTGCATCACTGCACACTTCCCTGACAGCCAGAAGTCTTGGATGGTTCAGTGGAAATAAATTAAATTTAGGCAAGAATTGCACAAGGCGGCTGGACTGGAGGTTGTTCTTTTCTGATCTGGGGAATGTGACCTGAGCATGTAGGGTTATCCTGATGTGAACTGTTAATTTCCACCGTTCTGTGACTAGCATGAACTACAAATTCTGGCTTTCTTTGAATTGAAATGAAAGTTAGCACTGAAGTCATTTTCAAAACTATTGACAACTGAAATTCCCAGATTGACCAAAGTTAGACACATCCAAGCTACAAGGCATTCAAAAAGAAACCCAAATGGGTCAATTTATAGTCTCAAGTGTCTATTAAGGAATCTCAGAGAAAATTTTTGACATAAAAATATAAACTAAATACTTTCACTGCATTCTGAGTGAGATGGAGTCATTGTGTTTGCAAAGATGTGTGCCAGAAGTTGCAGTTCACCTCATTACAGGATTACCTATTAGGTATTTGATAATATCTAGTAGGTATGTTATGACAGCAACAGTCATTTAGAACCTTATGACCAGGAAATTGATAAATCAAAAGCCAGAAATCATGAATATTATTTTTTTAAAACCAGATGACCTGAAAATTAATCATACATTCAAACTGAACTGAATTCAAACCTATGAGACCCAGAGTTACACATCTATTTTAAATTCTAAATGAAACATAATCCACCATATATTAGTTATCAATAGTTTAATGAATTTTTTTAAAAAAGATTTGCTCTCCTTCTTCAAAATGTAAAAATCTTCTAATACTCTATGGACTGTTGGGAAGTTGGTACATTGGGTTCATCTGTAGTGATCATGATTAGACTTCAAAGAATGTCCGTTCTCTGTTTAGATAAAATAAAAAAAAAATAAGAAAGCAAAATAAAAAAAATGACTCAGAAAACAAATGATAAAATATTTAAAAACACTTCTGTTGTTTTGGTCTATAAGTTCTTCTGCTATAGCAACACATCCTTTTTTTTTTTAGGAAAGTGAACCTTTTTTCTTTTTTAAACCAACGTGGCTTCTCTCATTTTTTAATGGTACTTTAATATTGCAATCTAAAGATAGTTTTAATTGCCACAGGAATAAAAGAATAAGTAAAAGGAAAACACAAAGACTGGAAAAATATTACTGTTGGGATAAAACCAACAGTTATATTGGAGAATTTGCAACAAAAAAGAGAAAGTAAGGCAGTGAGAATAAAAAATTTTAAGAAACAAAGAGAAAGATGGCCAAAATGGTGAAAAATAGAACCACAGAACCAGTACGATGAATTTATTTTTCTCAAGGCAGAAAAAAGATCTAAGAAATAATCTGGCCCAAGACTCTCTTCATTTGCTTAGATAAAGCGTTGAGGCCTGAAAGATTATTTGGTTAAAATTACAGCTTTTTGAAGCAAGCTGTAAAATTTACTTAAAATTTTTGAAAAGACTGACATAAATGTAGATAAAGAAGCATGTCAGATAAAAAGAAAGAAAAAAGCAAGCCCCAAACAAAAATAATGAAATGGAAGATGAGAAAAATACTGTAAAATAAATTAAAAATGGGAAGGAATGAAATGAATTCAAGGTAAATTAAGAGTTTTAAGGTATATTCAACAAGGGAAGTTCAGCTAATTTGCATCTAAAAAAAAAGGGTACAAATCAAACCAAGAAAGGTTATAGTCTTACATACTGTAAAGCCTGAATTATAAGAAAAGCAAGGTTATTGAGTTACTGCATTTTCCTATGCCAAGAATTCAATCTTTGTTTATGACTAATTTTTAAAGTATAAAGAAAAATGGCATAGAGAAAAATTCTGATTTAAGAGGCAACAGGGAATGAGTAATTTTATTCATTTCTAAAAATTGAAAATAATTAGAAGAGCATGGACCATAGAAAATGAGCAAAAAATTAAGGAAGACCAGGATATATCCAGGTGGACTACAGCTGAAGAGAAAGTCAGCCAGCCTGGCTGAATACACTGCAGGTGATGACTGAAGAAGTGGCCAATAAACACACAGAAGAGAGGAGACTACAGGCTAAAAACAGGCCTGATGGGAGCTCTGCATGTGGAATGGGGTTCTTCTACTCTCTGCTGAACTTGGAAGCACCTTTGTGCAAGAACAACCTTCCATACCCGGATTAAGGTTTTGTTCTTAAAAGCAGCTGAGAAACTGTGAGAGGAGACAGCAATTGTCAGATACCACTATGTCGGAGCACATCTTTTCTCATTCTGGCCAGAGCTTTGGCTACACAACTGGCATGGCAATCCCTGCTATATGCACGGCTACCATTGCGCCTGTCTGCTGCTTCATGCAAATATGAAAAGGAAAGCCAAGTATTACCAGATACTTGGGGGTAGTCTGAGACAAGAAAAGTCAATATAAATAAGTGAAAAACATGACCTAACAGAAATGGAAGAATCAAGAAATAGAACTTTATATAAGCAAAAAAAAAAAAAATCCTCTAACTGGAATTT